TAGAGACAATTTATACTGCTAAATGATTTGATAATCATCATATTACAGCATCAGTGGGAGGCTGAGCTTACACCTGTAATCCCAGCACTTTGGGAGGCCAAGGCAGGATTGCTTGTGGCAGGGAGTTTAAATCCAGCCTGGGCAACATGGTGAGATCTCATCTTTACAAAAATTTAAAAAATAAAAATCAATAAACAAATTGTCAATGGGAGAACTATTTCAGAGTACAGACACTTGGGCTATTGTTCAAACATGCCGCAGGGATAGATATTCCTAATCCTTTACCAAGTCTGCATTCTTGTCTTCTTCCTAGCCATACCAGACTTCTCATTTTGTTTGGGGTAGACACATTAAATGATCTCTAACAACAAAAAAGTAAGAATAGAAATGCTGTATACCACTTTAAGACCTGGCCCATAAAAAGCTTCCATGCACTCTCTTCAATGTTCTTTTCCTCTTTCTGGATAAGCCAATCACAGAGACTGTAGGAGCCATGTGTTAAAGGTTGCCAAATATTCATTAGCTTCTGTCCTTTACTGACTCCGAGAAGAACCATCAACTGATCTGTACATTCACCCAACACTGTTATGTGAATAAGAAATATATTACATGCTTTTTAAATCTGTTATACAGATTGAATATCCCTAATCCCCAAAAGCAAAATACTCTAAAGTCCAAAACCTTTTGAATGACAAAGAAGCATTTCAGATTTTCAGATTAGGTATATTCAACTGGTGATATGGTTAGGCTTTGTGTCCCCACCCAAATCTCATCTTGAATTGTAATCCCCATAATCCCCATGTGTCAAGGGAAAGAACAGGTGGGAGTAATTGAATCATGGAGGCAGTTTTCTCCATGCTGTTCTTGTGATAGTGAGTTCTCACGAGATCTGATGGTTTTATATGGGGCTCCTCCCTTTCACTCAGCACTTCTTCCTGCCACTTTGTGAATAAGGTGCCTTGCTTCTCCTTTGACTTCCACCATGATTGTAAGTTTCCTGAGGCCTCCTCAGGCATGCTGAACTGTGAGTCAATTAAACGTCTTTTGTTTGTAAATTTGCCAGTCTCGGGCAGTTCCTTATAGCAGTGTGAAAATGAACTAGTACAACTGGTAAGTGTAATGTGAATATTCCAAATCCCAAAAAAATCTGAAATCCAAAACACTTCTGTTCCCAATCATTTTGAATAAGGGATATTTGAAGGCCTAATTGTTGCAAACGCAAGAGTTAACTAATACAGCACATTGTTTATGGTTAACACTATGCTGCACGTGCAGCCTGGCCAAATTCATTCTTAACAGAGAGGTAGAGAGACCACTTTTATGGAGTGATCACTCCACAAAAGAGGTGAAGAAAAAGTTAGAGAATGCACACCATCTTGTAAATCACTAGCGTCCTTTTCTTACCTGTAGATTAAAAAAAATGCACTAGTATCAATAAAAAAAAATCTGTTGGAGTAAATAAACGATCATCCTTCACTGAACTGATTTTTTAATCAATCTTTTGTCTAGTTTTTGGTCTCAGCCATGGTCTGTATGTGTGTGTTCTTTCAGAACCTATATGTTGAAATCCTAATCCCTGGTGTAATGATATTAGGAGGTGGGGCCTTTGGGAGATGATTAGATCATGTGGACAGAGCCTTCATGAATGAGATGAGTATCCTTTTATAAAAGACCCCACAGAGTTAGCCCCTTCCACCATCTGGAGGCACAGCTAGCAGGTGCCATATATGAACCCAGAATGTGCCGTCATCAAGCACTGAATCTGCTGACCCTGTGGTCTTAAGATTTCCTAGCCTCTAGTACTATGAGAAATAAATTTCTATTGTTTATAAGCTGTCGAGTCTATGGCATTTTGTTAAAGCAGCCTGAACAAAGACAGCCTTTATTCTTCTAGTTGGATAAAGTTTCCATGAGGGTAAGACCTTTGAGTTGTTTATTGTAGCAGTCCCAGTTCCTAGAAGACTCCGAGAATAACAGGCATACAGTATGTGTTTGTAGAGATGTAAACTAATGTAATAATATGAGGTGGATAGAGACAAATCTATCTGGTGAGACTTTCCACCCTGAAACTTGGCCAGCAGTTTTCATTTGGCAGAGAAAAGATTTCCTCTGACACAGATATGTGATTAAACATAATACACACACACATGTCAGACAGTCAATTTATAAATTCATTTCACATTATATTTATCTAAGGTATCTAGAGACTAAAGGCAACTAACAAGTTTGTTGCATGCAGAGGTCCCTTTGCTTGCTATCCTCTTCCTTTATCAGCACCAGCTTTAACTCCCAGGCATCTTTCCAGCCCTAGCTCTGCACAAGCTTACCACCTGATGGCAGAGAGCCACACATTTACTCTCTCCTTACTATCCCAAGGATATGGCTTGATGTTAAATAGCCAATAAATGATAATTTCCAAGTGCAAGAGGGTCCAACTGCAAAGTGTTTAGTCTTAAAATTGGTCTACTGGTGCCAGCTAGATAGTTAAAATGTTTGAGAGACTGGCTGTATACTACCTTCTTTCCTTTTCAGAGTTGTTGATTATTAATTCATTTATGTATTATGGTCCTTCACAGAAACAGAATAGGATGTGTGAATATAAAGAGATTTATTAAGATATTGGCTCACACTTTATGGAGGCTTAGCCAGCTTGATATTTAATGGAGGGATCTGGCAAGCTGTAGCCTGAGAAAACAGTTACATTTCAAGTCCAAAGGCAGGCTACTGGTGAACAAGGGAAGCCAATATTACAGATGACGTCTAAAGAATGCCCTCTTTCTCTGGGAAGGTCCGTTTTTGTTCTCTTCAGGCTTTTAACTGATTTAGTGAGGCCCCCTCACATTATGGAGGGCAATCTGCTTTACGTAAAGTCCACCAATTTAAATGTATTGAAATTAATAGCAAAAACCGCAATTACTTTTGCATCAATGTAATAAACCTCAACAACATCCTTTACAGAAATATCCAGAATAATGCCTGACTAAACACTTGAACATTATGGCCCAGCCAAGTTAACACATAAAATCAACAATCACAGTTCACTTGCTTGCTTGCTCATTTGTTTTTGGTTGTTTTCTTCTTTGCTCTAATTCTCTTAGGTCCTTGAGGTCATTGTTATTTCCACAGGGGTTATCTAATACGAAACCTTGTTGTGACCTGGAGAGTCCCAAGCCCAAATTGCAGCTTCCCCACTGGCTTAGCGTGTAACAAAGTGCTTTGCCAGTCAGCCCTCTGGTTCTGCCTCTGTGAATGGAGCTATTTTGCCTACCTAAGCTCATTATCATGAACAAATGGGATAAAAATATATTGAGAAGCTCTGCAAACACAAATTCACATGGAAACTGGTAGTTAACATTGTTTATATATCAAAGGTCCTGCCTTTCAAAACAGCAAGTGAGAAAACAGAAAATTCTGCAGGTGAAGCACATTACAGTTGAGTAACTGACTCACTGGAATAAAGAAAGATCAAATTAAGAAAGTCAGTTTATTAGTGAGGGAACAATGATTTTAAGAGTTAAGCGAAGTTTTAAATACCACGATAGGTGATTGGTAAAGATGGTGGGAACAGTATTGAATTTAAAGCACACAGAATATTCATGTCTAAAGTCAGGCTTGGTGGGGAGTTAGCACACCATTCATCCTTCCCCATGGAACTTAGTCCTGGGTGGACATTAGGTAGCGTGGGAGTGCTGTGACAGCCCTAGTCACAGGAGCTCCGATCACATGGGACTGCTCATGAGAATCTACTAAAAGGGACTAAAGATAACTTATCACTTCTCCACTTATAATGTACAGTTGACTCTTGAACAACACTAGTTGGAACTGTGTGAGTCCACTTATATGTGGATTTTTGTCAATAAATACAGTCGCCCCCCTGAATTCATAGCTTCAGCATCCACAACCAAATGCGGATCAAAGATACAGGCCAGGAAGGACCAAATTCTCTTATCTGCAGGCTCTGCAGTACCAAGTGTGGGACTTGAGTGTTTGTGGATTTTGGTATCCACGGTGGTCCTGGAACCAATGCCCCATGTAAATCAACGGGTCACCATACAGTTAATATCTCACATGTGATTCAATTCTGGACCATCATGTGATTGTTAGTCTCCACCACTCAGGGGACCTCTATGCCTCACATGCTTAACCAGACTGTTTCTTATAACTCTAAAACATGGAGGAATTCCAGAGACAGTTACAATTTGCTTGCTCAAACCTTATGTTGTGTACCAAAGCAGCCCCCTTCTGACACTTTAAAGTTTCTTTTTTTTTTTTTAAGCAAAAATGGCAAAACCACCCTCAGAGGGCTAGCCTTGCCCTGCAGCCCCTCCAGGTCAATAGTCCAACATCAGTATAGTTCCCAAGATGAATGTCCATCATTCTTTGATAAGTTAATCTAGGGACAAAGGTGGGGATCTATTAAGCCTAGGCCAGGCCGTTTCTTTGCAGACTCTCCTCTCCAGAAGTTCAAAAAAATTCATGGGGTTCTATCTCACCCAAGGTCACTTGTTACAAAAGCATGTCGTGGGTATGCCTGGTCATCCTGTTAACAAGCATTAGTATCTATTCCTGCTTGAAGCTTCTTGAGCCACTGAGATGCTAATAGAGTCATTTTGCCATTGAACTGAAGATTATGTGGGTTCAGAAAACTTTGAGAGGATAGAACCAAGATCCAGCAAAGACCATATTATAATGCAATTTCCTTTTACTTTATTTATAATAAAAATATGTGGAAGATAAACATGCATGTTCTTAAAAGCAGCACTGTGTTTCTGAATACATCATACCTACTGAAAATACAAAGGTATTTACATCTACATTTTTTTTTCTGTGAGAACTGGAACAAAGATAAGTTAATAGTGTGCTTTTTATTCCTTTTGTAATGATGGATGAATGGTTAACTTTCTTGACTCAGCTTTGCGTGGTAAACAGTTCTGTTTCAATGCAAAAAAGTCAGTTTTATGAACACTTTGCTCATATTGCTTCTCTGCCACTTTCCCTAGGAATGCCCCAGTGGTGTTGTTAATGAAGAAACCTTCAAAGAGATTTACTCGCAGTTCTTTCCACAGGGAGGTGAGTACAAATGTGGACTTGTTAACATACTATCAGAGTTACCATTATGCTTGCAGTGTTGAGCTTAGTTTAATTTTTCATAGCATAATGCTACATTTTTAATCGTTATGTAAAATAATGCACAGCATGCACGTACATATAATTTTTTATGTATCACAGAAGCCAGCGACTTAGAAATTATCAAATATCCAAAAGGCTACTCTTCAGTTTAATACAAGTATGACTGTGTGCCTAGTACCGTGGCCCTCAAATGCACAGTGCTTTCTATTACAAGGGTGCTCAAAATGCCACAAAGCTCATTCACATGCATTATAGGTCTCACTTGATTCTCCCAACTCTCAAAATTAGGACAAATGTAATTATCCTCAACTTACAGATATGAAAGCTGGGGCCTGGAGAAGGTAAATGGTTTGCTCGGGGCCACATGTTGACTCAGTGGCAGATCTGGGTTATAACCTAGATTTTCTGCAGCCTCACCTAGTATATTTTCTGCTGTTCACTCTTTCTTCCAATAACTCTTCACTGTGTTCCCTCATTCGAGAAAATTAAAAACATCCTAGATATTATTTTAATTGGAAAGAAAACACAAGGATAGTGTAATGATAATACACGCATGTTAGTGATGAGTGAAAAGACATTCTTGCCATTGGACCTTATAGTTTTTCTTTCAATCATCTAACAGATGCCCAACTCATATCTGTCCCACAGCCTACAATGTGCCTGGCCATGTGTGAGGTGCTGGTCATGTGGGAGGAATAAGAGGAATAGGATGTGTTATGTGCCCAAAAGAATGATATAGCCTAGTGTAGCAGATGGGCAATGTCAACCTCAAGTATAACTGTGATTATGGAAGTTAAAAAAGTCATATTCTGAGGACACAGTGCTGGCATGATTATATTAGCCTTCAGGATAGAGAAGAAATACAGAGACTCTACAGATGTTGAACGTTGGCTGAAGTTGTTACCATTCAGAAAGCATCTAATATGTGCCTGTCTAATATGTACCCTGGTGTGCCTCACCATCCAACAACTCTGCATATAATCCTCATTTTTTTTAATAGATACACATGTGGAAACTAAGGTGCAGAGAGTTTCATCTATTTCCAAAGTATATAGTCTTTCACTCTCCCATTATACCTCTCAGGAGAAATTCACTTCTGAGTATGACATCTTCCAGCTTTAAAAGGCAGTAGGGACATGACATTTTAGGCAAGTGGGGTGTAAGCAAAGGATCAGAGCATAGACCTGAAGGTGGGCATTTGTAGGCAACTGCCGGGATTTGGGTATGGCTAGGGTAGAGAGTGTACAATGGAGGGTGAAATGTCCTAGAGAGTCAAGGATGCCATGTGAAGAAATAGGACTTTATCGTTGAGGTGATGCAAAGCCACAGGTAAGTGGGATCTGTTACAGTCAGATTTGTGTTTGGGATACATTTCACTGATAGGTCTGTGGAAGATTAACCTGAGGTCAGCAATACTGCAGGCAGGGAGACTAATTAGACGATTACTACAGGAGGAAAAACAATAAGGTCTTTAACCAAGGACATGCTTAGGAGAAACAGAGAAGTGGGGAAAGATTACAGATATATTTAGATGACAAAAATGGCAGAATTTAGTGATGAATTAACTTTTTGTGGCATAAAGAGGTGGAGAGAGGAGTTTGTGACACCTTTCAGGATTCCACCATAGACACCAGGTGGCTCATTACAGGAAGAGTAGGGAATAATGATCTCAGTTTTGGACAAGTTACATGTGAGGTACCTGTGGGGATTTAGAATCAACGAGAAGTTGGTAAAAATCTGAGGCTCAGAGGACAAGTCAGAGAAAGAGACAGAGATTTGAGAATTATTAATCAAGAAGTAGTGGTTAAATCCCTGATGTAGATGAGATTACTGGGGGGGAATTATAAAAAGTGGTGAGCTCCATGAGGCCAGCATGAAACTCCAGAACACATGTCAAGGACCATAAGGAAAAGGCATCCACAAAGGAGACAAAGAATGAACAGTTTATGGAAATAAACACAAGAGAGAATGATAGTTCAGAAATGAAACAATCAAGTCCAGTAAGGTAAGGATCAGAAGGTCTCTTGGGATGTGGCAACATGGGAGTCATTGTTGGACATGATTGGGACAGCCCAAGTGCCCTAGATGAAGTACCAGGGAGTGGAGCACACAAGCAGAAGTCAAATTGGAGGGGGTGAAAAGGAGGATGAGAAGGAACAGCGACAACCAATAGAGATAGCACTTACAAGAAGCTCTGCTGGAGGAGTGAAGCGATGAGGAGGAAACTGATCATAGGGCTGGGTAGATACCAGTAGAATATTTTTTAAGATAGAAAAGGTTAGGCATCGTTTATATACAGAGAAGGAGCTGGTAAAGAAGGAGATATTAATAGCTTAGGACAAAAAGGAAAAAAGAGAAATAAGATTCAGGTTTGGAGGAAAAAGATAGTCATGGGATGGGATGGTGGAGTCCATGAATCTGGAGTTCAGGAAGAAGGTTTTACCTCAAGTCAGGTGGGGACCATCTAGTACTTCCTTTCAACTTTGGCGGCTACTCAACGTAGGGGACAATTGGTTCTCTCTGTGATTATGGCCACAGTTGACTTTGCCGTTGACCTTGCCAACGCTTTTTTTTTTTTTTTTTTTTTTTTTAAACTACTTTCCACTTAAAGGAACCACCATCATCTCCTGCCAAAATAAACACAGTAGTCTCCAAACTGGCTTCTCTGATTCTGATGACCCCCTCCGCAACCTTAGTCTACTCTTAAAATGAGTCAGAGTGATCGATCCCATTAAAATGTAAGCATATCTTGTTACTGCTCTGCTCAAAACCATACCATTCCACAGGCATAAGCCACAACCTACAGAGTGGCCTACAAATGGTGGCCACTGTCTCTTGTCCCCTGTCTGCCTTGTCCTCCACCATTCTCCCACCCGACTCACTCCACCCAGCCACAATGGTCCCCTTGCCATCCCACCAGCACACCAGCCATGATGCTGCTTCTGTGCCTTGGAACTTGCTGTTCCCTCTGCCTGAAATTCTCTTCTCCCAAATATTCATCTCCATATCTCATCATCTCTGCATTTATACCAATGCCACCTTCTCAGTGAAGCTTGCCCCGACCACTCTACTTAAATTACAACGCCTTCAACATTCCCCATCCACTTCCCCTGCTTTATATCTCTCTTCAGCACTCAAGACAATCCAATAATATATCTTTCACTGGTACTATTGTTGTTTATTCTCTTTCTCTGTACTCAAATGTCAGCTGCAGAGAACAGAGGATTTCTCCACTTTGTTTACTGCTGTATCCACAGGTCATGGGACAGTGGCTGACGAGTAATAGCACCTGATAGATAACTTTTTGCATGAATGAACAAATGACACCCACCTTGCATGGTGGCTATCACTGTACAATGGAATAATATCTGTAAAAGACTCTTTGAAAAGTATAAAGCACTTAAGTATTAGTTGCTTCATACAAAAGTCAGGTTTCCTTTTGGGTTTTAATCCATTTGGTTTTAGGTAGTTTAGTGATTTAAAACAATTTTGTGCCTGACTTGTCAAAACAGATTTTTGTTTTTGATGGCATTCAAAATAATTAAATTAGAATTCTAAGAAAACACAGGAAGACTTGTTTTTCAGTGAATTTGGATATACTTTGGATGACAACTCTCCCATCCCATCTCATTACCACAGTGCAGAGAGGAGGGCCCTTCTAACAGACCACAGACAGGTATTGGTATAGTGCCTGATGCCAGGATGATACTGGGTTCACTGTCTACATTAATGAAAGATTAATTTGAGGTATTAATTAACTAACTCATATTTTTCTGAATTGTTTAAAACCCATGGATTTTTTAAAGAAAAATTATATTTAATATCTGAGTGCCTAACAACATATTAATAGGCATTGATATCAAAGCACAGATGCAGATGAAAATCTTTGTTATTATTTGATCATTTCAAATAAAGTTATTACATATTAAAACTTGGATACGACTCCACATTAAAATTTTACCTTTACTTGAAAAATACCATTTCCATGTTAGACAACATCTTCTTCAACAGAGAACATCCATTTTGCAAAGGATTCTTATTACAAAATCCAAAGGGATTAGAGAGTTGAGAAAAAATTACACTCTTTAAAATTATTTGATTATTCATGTTAATTGAATGCATAAATCTGAACACGTGAGGCATCGCTGAAGGAAATGAAATATTTTAAAGAATTATGATTTGTTTTGCATTTTTAAAAATAACATAATACATATAACTTGTTTCATATATGAGGCCAGAAAAGGAAAAATGTCCTAAGGAAGAATGTGATCTCTGATGGCAAGCAAATTCATGTATGACCATCCGTACACTTCCACGGAGTCATTTATTCAGGATGATGGTCTGAATGCAACAGGTTTTCTCATTATGAACAGTAACACTGATGGGTCCATAAATCACAACATCTCACCATTTCCTCCAGGAAAGTGCTTTGTCTTATCTACAGAGCTCTCTGTAATTTGTATTGTGTCAGGCTGTTAGCTTTCTCTATTGCTTTGTGAAGCAGTTTATCAAGCACAACTTGCTTGGTGAGCTGGATGTCAGAAAAACTGGATTGAACAAAAGCCTCTTATTTGCGGGGGATAAAGTATGCCTACTATAAGGCAAGCAGAGAGAAAACTGCTTGTTGGTACTGTTGCTTATATGGTTAGGAAAAAACCTTTTAAACTCCACATACAATAGAAGATTTCACATGTAAGCTTTTAGCTCACGAAACATGTTTAAAGCCCATGTAGTTTCCTAGGATATTCCTGCTCATATTGTAGGAATGCACTTATGTTGACTACACTGGGTATCTCATAAACAGCTGTTGAATGAATGAATGAATGAGCTCAAGTCAGAATAATCTGTCAATAAACATTTATTAAGCAGCTGCTGTGGAAGGTACTTGAGTCAGATGAGTTCTGTAGACATCACCCACTGAGTATCCTTCTTGTCCTCGGACAATATTTCTAACAATTTTCAGGGTGATTTACAGAGGACTTATTGACAGAAGCTAGTATTCATGCACATGAACTTGCCTTACCATAGTAACGATGTCATGAATTGTATATTCAAATACATGAAGCTAATTCTATTCTTTGTGCTTGAATTGAATGGGAGTAGGGGTTTGGGATAGGAAAAAGAATTAAACCAGACTGATTTCATTCTGCAAACCTGGGGCATGATAATCAAGTATATTTGTTCAAGTACTATGAAGAATGAACTCAAGGGTTAGTTGGTATGTTCATTGTGTTCTGGATATAATTGGGTTAAGAACTTTGGACTAAGATAGTTCAGAGTTTGTGGACAGACTGCCACCACCAAGGTATGTAACCCCGAGTGGTTTACTTTTCTGAGCCTCAGTTTGTTCCTCTGTAAAATGTAGGAGTCGCACCAAAGGAATCCTCGGGTTTTTTTCTACTCTAGTATCCTTTATTTCTAAGAGATTGTATAGGAATATCTTGATTTCATTAGCAACTCTACCATGAACTAACTAGGTGACCTTAGTATGTGAGTAAAAGTACCTGTTTTTACCTTTGTTCAATGTAAATACAATGCTAAATAATATCCAAAATGTCTTCCCATCCTAAGACTCTGTAAATTTTGTTGCTCAACTATAAAATCTCAACATTTATTTTTCAGCTTTACAAGTAAAATTATAAGAAACCGAGGCGATCTCAGCTTAACAAACTCAGTATTTGTTATGTAAAGAAATGTAATCATGAAGACCACCAGGTTATAGAGAGAGAAGGGAGATCACTGTTATATCTTTTAAGCCCTGGACTATACTGAAATCTAGATTCCAAGTAGTCAGTTATTCACTCTTCTGACAAATATTTACTGAGTGCTTAAGAACACAGTCAAGTAAAATCAGAATCATAGATGCTTTTGGGGACAGTTTATCTTTTCATCATTTTATCCAGTTTTCTGCCTAGCTGGATATTCCTATGCCTTTGCTTCTTCCTCTCACCCAATCAAAGCAAGTAGCTTCATTCCTCTTCTTTAAAACTTTCCACTGTCTTCAATGCCTGCCAGAAGAAATCTCAACTCCATCAGAAGGCCCATTGCTTTTAGGACCTAATTCTCTTGTCTTTTATTGAGCAGAAAATTGCATAAAATTAGAACTCCAGTCACCTAAACACACAACAGAAATCCTACAAAAACAGAAAGTTATATTTAAGGTGAAAGATGTTATATTTGCAAAAGATTTGATCATATGTGTTTAAGGTAATTGAAATAAAAGTGGCTTGTCTAGGAAATAATAATAGCTAATATTTATTGAAATTTTAATAAGTGCCTAGGATTATTTCTAAACACTTTGCAAATAGTGTCTCATTTAAACTTTCTAAGATCTCTATGAAGTAAATACTGATGTTGTTATTATTTTGTAGATGAGGAAACTGAGCCACACAAAGGTAAAACCACTTGCCTGAGGTTGTGCACTTAATCTTTGGAGATTCAAATTCAGGCAGTCTGATTCTACTATGCTATTACTAAAAACCTCTCTGCTTTGGGAGGCCGAGGCAGGTGGATCATGAGGTCAAGAGATTGAAACCATCCTGGACAACATGGTGAAACCCCGTCTCTACTAAAAATACAAAAAAAATTAGCTGGACGTCATGGCACACGCCTGTAGTCCCAGCTACTCGGGAGGCTGAGGCAGGAGAATTGCTTGAACCCAGGAGGTGGAGGTTGCTGTGAGCTGAGGTCGCACCGTTGCACTCCAGCCTGGTGCCTGGTGAGGGAGTGAGACTTTGTCTCAAAACAAAACAAAACAAAACAAAACAAAAAACCTCTCTGCATGGATTATCTACACTGGGAAGCTGCTTTAACTTCTAAAAGAATTGCCAAGGCACATTTAGAGGAACAGGGTGTCTGTCCTCTGTAGCACATTAGTGTAAACCTTGAGAGCATAATTCCCATGTGTCAAAGCTTTAAGCTAGAAAAACTCCATTTGAGAATAGAAATTATCATATACGCATGTTATCTTTTTCTTAATTAAAAAAAATAGCAAACACCATTTGTTTTGAGTCATTCTTCACGGTGAGTACCGCTTGCTAAGGTAAAGGCATTTACTCTGATTGTAAAAACAGGGTAACTAGAGACCTGCTTAATGAAGCTCATTGTAAAATATGCAAAATCTCCTTTTTTTTCCTCCTCCAAAAGTAAGTTTAACACACCATCTATCAATTCACATCTCCATAGGGTACTTTATAGTTCAAGAAGTGTGTGAAAAAGTACTGTTGAGAGCAAAACAACTTTGCAAGTTGAAACAGGCTGCCAATTCTTGATAACTCTATAAGGGAGGTTCCCAAAGAACAGAACTAGGTTTATGGTCATTAAACCCCTGGCTCCATATGCAAAAGGATTTCTTCCTGCAACCTATCAATACTGGATGGACATCCGCTCCAGATGCAACAGTTTTACATATTATTTAGACCCAATTTTGGTGTTTGATTAGTTCATTGAAAACTGTAACTCCTGTGTTTAAAAGATGAGTAATTCTTCATAGCATATTAAAAAGGGGAGAGATAAGAGAAGATGTTGCTGTCATTTTGAGAAACTGAGTGCACAGTCTGCCTCATGAAATGTGCAGCTTCAGTAGTGTTCATTACTACACTGAGACACTCAGGAAAAATAACGCGTAAGGAGGCTGTGGACCCTGAGAGCCAGGATGGAAGTTTAGATGACCTCTGACCTCTCTTATCTGGGGAAGGCAATTCTGTACTCCAGCTACTCTGACTTAGCCTCATGACAGCCTATAAAAAGCAATTCATAAAGTAAAAAGTGAATCGATGATAAGTTAAAACCCAATAAAGGTTAAAAGTTATAAAATAGAAATAGATGAGATTTAAAACAGAAGATAAAAGGCTAGAGAGCCAATGAGCTAAAAGGTTACCTTTTTTTTTTTTTTTTTTTAACACAAAAAAGGTTAAGATAAAAGGCTAAAGCCCAGGAGATGAAACATTGAAAATAATCATGTGAATTTGATCAAGGGTCAAGCACAGAGGCCCTTAGGCACTCAGAACAAAAAACAATAAGGAAAAAATACAGACTTTTAAAAAGTGGCAGAAAGCCCAGAGATTAAGGAGATAAAGGAGAAAGAGGAGAGGAAGGAAGGAAAAATGAGAGGGGAAGAATACTCGATGGAAGCAAACTAAGAAGACAAGCTGGGCTTCTGAAGACATACCTGGCCATCATTACCCAGATCCTTGAATCCCACACAGGACCCAGACAGAGTAGGGGCTCCCTACTTCATGCAACTTCATACAACTAGGAACATTTAGGACCACCCAGTCCTCTTCCAACACAGGCATAGAAACTTCTCAAGTCACCACTGACCCCAGTCCATCAGCCAACTTTGCTGGCTCTGGGCTGACCTGGTACTGACTGTGGGTTGGGCTGGCTCTCAGAGTCAGAAAGACCTAAGTTCATGCCCCAGATTTACTCTTTATTCACTGTGTGACTTTGGGCATGTTTTTCACCCTCTCTAAGTCCCAATATCCTTATCTGAGTCATAACAATGATAATAGCTCTAATAATAATAGAAACACTAATAACAGCAACCCATCTTTGTCTCATTAGTAGTATTTTTATTACTTCTAGAGATGGTCTCTGCCAAACACTAAGCAAATTCCAGAGAAGTCTCAATCTTCACACCCACCTATGGGACCATTTCCTGTCCCAGTGTTAATCTCATCACCCAAGAATACAGAATTGCCAGCCAGAAACCCATAGAGGATGTTTGTCACCAATGGCCTCTGTGTTGGTCGCTCATTTCTGTGACTCTCAAACTCTAGTCCTTTACAGAAAGAGGGTAAGCAGTTATGAGGAAAGCACAAACTAAAGGCGGCAGAGTTAATTCTGGATGAAAGAAAGCTTGGACTGCTATCCCAAGTCTTATGTAGGATATGGAAACACTGACTTAATGATATTCCCTTTTCACTATTTCAGACTCTACAACATATGCACATTTTCTGTTCAATGCATTTGATACGGACCACAATGGAGCTGTGAGTTTTGAGGTAAGCCCTGGCTTATTTTCATATCATTTAACTTCAGAGTTCAGTCTTTTTAGGGGAAAAATGTGAGTTTGGTGATGCTTATTTTTGATCGGGGAAATGAAGCCCAAGGACATTCCCTTTCTCTCCTGGAATTGCTAAGAATTATCTTTCAAAAGAAGTACAAATTGCAAGCCATGTTTAGTTTATTTTCTAGTACTTTAAATTGGCTCTTACAAGGAGAGTCCATTTCTTCAAATGCATGCGAAAAATCCCAGAAGGCAAATGATTTAAGTAACTGTTACTGAAACCTTCTTATGGGCCAGTAGCTGTGGTAGGCGGTGGAAATACAAAAATAATAAAGTCAAAAGCCCCTTTGTGGAAGTCTCGGTAAGTGGAGCAAACAGACAAGAAATTCAAGAAATTAAATGTAGAAAAATACTATATTCACCAGCCTGACAATTCTACAAGGAAATCTCTTTTTAAATTACAAACTTTAAGTGATCTGTAGAGAAAATTTTTTTGTTGTTGTTTGCTTGAGAGAGAGAGAGTCTTGCTCTGTCATAAAGGCTGGTGTGCAGTGGCATAATCTTGGCTCTGCAACCTCTGCCACAAGTACAAGCAATTCCCTGCCTCCTGAGCAGCTGGGATTACAGGCACGTGCCACCCCACTTGGCTCAAAAGTATTTAATTTTGTTCATGAAGTACTGTGTATAAGCATCTAGTAAAATAAAATATGTCCTAGATATTCACATAGCTTATATAAATATAAATATATATATTTATATAAGCTATTTATATAAATATATATATTTCATATGATAGGTAATTCATATATTTAAATGGTACACAGCGGATCACAAATTGTAGTACATTGATTTAAATATTAAGAGATAAACAAGACATGAACTCTGCTTAGCTGTAAAGGCTTTTATTTTTGTTAGAAAAAAGGTATGAAAAAAGTATACCTCATTTATTTGTTACATTCTGATTTGGTTGTGATTGATTAGTCTCAGAAGCAGCATTATACATATTTTGCTTTGTAATTCCAGTTTCTCTTTTCCATATATACATATATATGTATTCATAGTATATATATATATATATACACACACACACACACATACATATATATATATATACACACACACATATGTATATATTTGGAAGATGCATTTATTTCTGAAAGTGGGGAAGGGTGCATCTTAAATATGAGCAGAAATTTTGATTAGAGTCCTGATAAATGGAAACAGAGGATGAATGGGGCAAGCAAGGAAATGGTACCTGCACAGAAGGGGCTGTAGCAGAGAAGCCGGCCCAGTGGAATTGATGGACTAAGTCTAATTGCTGGACTAAGTCTCCTTAAGAGAATGAAGGCTTGGGATGGAATGGGAAGCAACAGAGAGCAGGGCAAAGGCTGGACAGAGTGTATCAGTCCTGGGAACCAAGGGAAAACGAGTAAATCATCAGGAAGACAGAATATACAATTGGAGAGCCAAGAGGGAAGGCTGGGGAAGGAGACAGGCCAGATCCTGACATGTCTTAGGCAGGATGCTAGGGAGATTGGACTATCTTGTAGGAGGTGAGGAGTCTTTGCAGAATTTTTGGCAGGGATGTTAATTTATCAGAGCTATGTTCCTGGCAACATGGAGTGCAATTAGCAGCTGAGTATTCCAAGAGTCCAGACAGGAGCTGATGAAAGCCTGAACTGCTGTAAAGGTACTGGAGGTGAAGAATGAAAGAAATTAAAACAGAATTGGTAGAATTGTATTTCAACAGAGCTGTCATGTATAAAGAAAAGTTCATATGGGCACAGGCAGCTATCTGGGTGCAAGGGCTTTGTGGAGTCAAGATGAAAAAGAAGGGTGCAGCCTTCTGTGATGTCGTCCAGCCAGTCGCTACAGGGGCAGGATGAACAGGGGCAGCCAAGAGCCTCCTCACACACACTCCGTGCTCATGCAGATTGGGTACCACAATTAAAAAGATTCTGGGCCCAGAAATCCCAAAGGGCCATCTCCCAAACTTAAGTGAGAAATATCACTGAGAAGATAAAAATAAAAGCTGAAAGTGGAGAAGGAATGAGCTAAGGTGAAGGAGTGGACTTAGTCAAGATGAAGCAGGCATGTTTATCCTGGGTGTAGAACCAGCAGTTAGTGGAAGGAGAGGAGATGGTTGGGGGAGGAGCATCCTGGGTACCAGTCTTCATAATGTTTCTTTTGCTAATGGCAGCTTAGGTCACTCCATGATAGTAACTTTGATCATTTCATGATAATGTCATATTTGTGTTTGCTTCACTTTATGTACAAATTTAATTCCAGCACAGTCTTAATTTAGCTATAATATAGAAATCAAAAGTTTGACCTAATATAGTTCACCTAATATAAACTTTTATAGTTGGATTCCAGAGGATGAGTAAGGCAAAAACTATTAGTGATTCCATTAATTGAAATTACTTATGTAGCAGCAATATACCACCAATTTCCTAGGGTATATTATATCCAATTTTACATGTAAATTTAGTCTGGTGTTAATGATATGGAACCATGCATAACATTGCTTTTATAATATTTATGTAAAATACCAGTAATTGCAGTGAATGTTGATTATAATTTGGGAAATTAGTTGTAATGGTTATATATTATGGGCATGTTGTTAAAATGCCTTTCCTTTTAAAGGAAGACTAATGGCTAAATTAATAAAGTTTGAATGAAAGTCAAATTTAAAACTAGGCTGTTTCAGTTACTTTTCTAAATTGATTAGCTACCTGGGAAATCTCTAGAAAACAGGCATGGTTAGGGAATGAACTCATTTTGAATAGCAATTGCATACTGAGAGGTGCAGTACAGAGACCATCTGATTCTATGATAAAGGGTAATGGAAGTTTTCCACTTAATTTGCTTAAACCTAAAAGGCAGAATAAATATGATAGGAGGGGCCCTGAATTTGATACGACGGGATCTAATCTCCATTTTGCCACCCAGTAGCTCTGAGACCCTGGGCTGAGTACTTAACCCTCGTGACCTCATTGTTCATACCTCCAAAACATCAGCAACCAAAGCTACTTCATAAGATAGTATAAGAATGAAAAGGGGAAAATGTCAGTAAAGGGCTTGGCTCTGTGCCTGGCAGCAAATATGTGCTCAGTGTTTATTAGATATTAACTATAGCAGTTATCAGCTGGGGGATTTTTCTAACAAAGCAAATTAATGACAACATTGGTCATCTCATTGTCCATTAAGGTAACTACATGCACATGCATCATTCTAAGCCATAGCAGTCTTTGATTGGCAGGTGGGGAGTCAGGAGGACTAACGTCCCTGGCATAGTGGCCAGCAATGAGGCACTCAATAAAGGTTTGGCAGATGAACAGAGTCCACAGCTGAACAAGTCCAGGTTATTATAGTCAAATCTCTATGCCTTTTCCCTTCTTTTGCCTTGATAATAAGAGAATGGAAACCAGAATTTGGTACAGACCTTCCCACCCCTTTATCATTTTTTGTACATTAGGAAACAGATATAACCTCCTTTCATATTTACAAGTAAAGTAATTGTGCAAAATCCTCTTTAAGAGTTGTTGTTAAGTTTGCCACTTCCTACTTGAGAGACTTCAATTACCACTCAGAAAAGCATGGAGCAAAAATCTTATAGCCACATTAAGTTTCTTATTTTTCTTTTGTACAAAATAAGATAGTGATTCCTGTTTTGAATAACTCTTTACTGATATCATCCCACAAGACAACAAGGGAGAGGTGCTTAAAGTCCACAGCTATCTTTTAATGTAAATTGTTTCAGGATATATAGTATTTAAGAAGATGTGAATTAGATGTCAGCATGTGAATTAGGATACTTTTGTTCACAAGTATTAGAAAATGATACACTAAGTGAGAAAAAAAATATATGATAATTTCATTGGCTCACAGGAACAAAAAGGCCAGAGACAGGGCTGGCTGCAGCCTAACCATGGGACCTTTTAGGGCTGCAAGAGGCCACAGCCCCTGGGCTTCATGACTCATTGCTCCTGTTGAACAAGGAAGGAAGCACATGTCTGTCCTACCGTTCCTAGCAAGAGCCTGAGTCTGGGGAGTCATTCTTAGACTTGGACTAGGTTTAGTCAAATGCCAACCGCAGATCCAGTTGTCTGGCCAAAGGGATAAAATGTGCTTCCTGACTTTGCCCAGGTCATGGCTCTATCACTAGACCCAGAGACAGAGAGTGAGCACTCACAGAACATCATGGAGCACCAAATGGAAATTTGGGACCTATTAGGGAGGCAAACAAGTCCACGCTTGACTTAAAAGTGCTATCTCTAACTCTCATTGTTACTCTGCTGTTCTGTGTGTTGGTGAGGTCAATGCCAGTCATGATCGCTGTAGGCCAGAGGTTCTCAAAGTGTGATCCCTGGAAGCAGTATAGGCTTCCCCTTGGAACATGTTAAACATGTAAATTTTGGGGCCCCAATCCAACCTAATGAATCATAATTCTTGAGGTGGGGCCCAGAAATCTGTGTGTTAGCAAGCTCTCCAGGTGATTCTGTTGCATATTATGAGAACAAATACTCTAAGCATGCTTTCAAAGACCCTGTAGGCAGCTCCCCTTCCAATTAATGACATATAACTACAAATTTGCGAATTAACAATATATATATATATATATATATATATGGTCTACATTGATAACCATCAACCTCATCTAGCCTTTTAAAACTGCTCAGCAATCTTCTTGAATAAGGCTCTATGTTCTGCAATAAATATTTTATACCTTCTGAAAAAGCCAAGGTTTTATTTTTTGTTTGAGACAGAATCTTGCTCTGTTGACCAGGCTGGAGCACAGTGGTGCAATCATAGTTCACTGCAGCCTCAACCTCCTGGGCTAAAGCAATTCCCATCTAAGCCTCCCAAATAGCCGGGACAATTATGTACACCACCATGCCCAGGTAATTTGTTGTTAATTGGATCTGGCCATGTTGTACAGGCTGCTCTCAAACTCCTGGGCTCAAACAACCCTTCCATCTCTGCCACACAAAGTGTTGGGATTACAGGCATGAGCCGTCATGCCCACCTGCTGGTTGTGCAAGGTGTATACTCACCACCACCAAGGCCTGTCATTACCTTTTCATTACACTGCATATCATCGATAAATAATTATCTAAAATATGGCAGGGAAATAATTTGAGGAAAGTCTGCCCTTCTCTAATTTGCACATCACTTTATTGCCTAGTAGCAGAGCTTCCTCCTCTCTCCTCAAACTTCCGATTCTTACTTCTTCTACCAGGTTCTTCACTCCCAAGCAGCTGACACTTGCTAAAGCTATTAAACAAAAACACAGTCATCTTTCCACTGTAAAGCAGCTACTGGCATCCACACCATGTCCTCCTGCATCAACTCCATTCTCAGATTGGCCCATCTACCTGTGTTCTGGATCATCCACAACTTCTCAGGAGCATCAGCCTATTTCAGACTCTTACTCTTTTTAGATTCTTCCGTTCAGTTTTCAAAGTGCTCCTCATTAAAAATCACTCTTCACCCCTTCTACTCCACTGGACCTTTCCCTATTACTCGCTGGTGACCTCCATGTTGCTGGTCCAATGAACATTTTTCCGTCCTCAGCAGCAAAATGAACAAGCCTTTCCTAGGGAAATTCTCAGTTCTCCTGATTCCCTTCTTTAGTAACTTCTTTTCAAGATGCTTTGCCAGCTTCTCTTCTCTATGCCTGCCAATATTGGAATTCTTTGTGGCCTTCCCTGGAATCTTCTTTTTCTCTTACTTGACATTCTACACTGACATTCTACCAATGGGAAGTAGACTAAGTACGGTGATCCGGTTGCCACAGCACCATATGTTGAGACTGTCCTTGCCATAGTTATTGAATGGTCTTGGCACCATCATTGAAGAATCAACTGGCCACAGACAGCTGGGTTTATATCTAGACTCAATTCTTTTCCACTGTTCTATATATCTGTCTTTATGCCAGTACCACACAGTTTTGATTACTGTAACTTTGTACTAAGTTTTGAAATTGGGTAGTGTGAGTCCTCCAAGTTTGTTTTTCTTTCTTAAAATTGATTGGGCTGCATTATTCAGGGCCCCTGGCAATATGAACTAAAAAATTATTTTTATTTTTGTCTTTTTCATATCTGCCAAAAGAGGCCAATGGCCATTCTTGATAAATTTGCTTAAGTGGAATGGTTGTATATTTCCTTAGCATGATAAAAGTATTATGCTTAAAAGAGAATAGAAATATTCTCAAGTTCAAGAAAAAACTGAGAATATTACCATTTTCATTAGGTAACACTGTCCTAAAGATATTAGGCTACACAATTAGAAAAAAGCAAACATTTAAAAATTAGAAAAGAGAGGTAAAATTAACTCCATTGCAGCTAATATTATTGCACACATGAAAAACCCAGGAGAAAACCAACTTAAGTTGTCAGCAGATTGGCAGGGTACAAAATTGTCATACAGAAATCAACAGCTTTCATACATACAAACAACTAATTTAGAATATATGATAGAAAAAAAATCACATTCACAACAGCAACAGAAAGGTTAAAATATCTAGAATAAGAATGAGAAAAAATATAAAAGAACAATTTGGTTAAATAAACTATGATACATTTACATATACAATGGAAACTCGAAATGTTTCCGATTTATGGTTAAGTGGGAAAAAACATATAGAAATGTTAGTAAAACAAACAAATGTATCTTTTATTTGTATATGCACAGAAATTCCTTGGAAGTAAATATGACCTATTTATGCCAGTTGTCTACGGGGAAAAGGGACAGGTGGCTGGGTCCAAGGAGGGAATAAAATTTTTCACCAGACAGCTTTATAATTTTTAAATGTTGGACTATATGGATGTTACTTATTAAAAAAAAAAAAACTTAAGCAATTGAAATAGAAATACAGCTATAGAATGAGGGAATGTGGAAAAGGAGAGATATAATGCAAATTCACCCAGAAGACTTTTGGATTTTCCCTCTGCTTTCATTCCTACCTAAAATTGGATTATAAACTGAATACAGCACATTGTAATGTTAACCCTGCTGTACATAACAACGAATATGAGCAGGTGCAGTGGCTCACACCTGTAATCCCAGCACTCTGGGAGGCTGAGGCAGGCGGATCACAAGGTCAGGAGTTCGAGACCATCCTGGCCAACATGGTGAAACCCCATCTCTACTAAATACACAAAAATTACTGGATGTGGTTGCAAGCACCTGTAGTCCCAGCTACTCAGGAGGCTAAGGCAGAAGAGTAGCTTGAACCTGGGAGGCAGAGGTTGCAGTATGCCGAGATCGTGCCACTGCACTCCAGCCTGGGCAACAGAGTGAGACTCTGTCTCAAAAAACAAACAGCAAAAACAAAACAACAACAACAAATCTAAATGAATTAAGTTAATCTGGCCAGTCTGGAATGCAATCAAACCAGCTTAGCCAGGATACAAAGGGAGGGTTCCATTCACTAAGAAAAACTTACATAGCCAGTGTCCTTGCCAGGGATTGTTATAAGCAGCCTTTTTTTTTTTTAAGGCTTGAATTTGTTATTATACTTTATATTCTGAGATAAATGTGTAAAACATGCAGGTTTGTTACATAGGTATACACATGCCATGGTGGTTTGCTGCACCCCTCAACCTGTGAGCTACATTAGGTATTTCTCCTAATGCTATCCTTCCCCATGTCCATGTGTTCTCACTCTTCAACTCCCATTTATGAGTGAGAACATGCAGCATTTGGTTTTCTGTTCTTGTGTTAAGTTTCCTGAGAATGATGGTTTCCAGATTCATCCACGTCCCTGCAAAGGATATAAACTCATCCTTTTTATGGCTATATAGTATTCCATGGTGTTTATGTGCCACGTTTTCTTTATCCAGTCTATCATTGGTGGGCATTTGGGTTGGTTCCAAGTCTTAGCTGTTGTAAACAGTGCCACAATAAACATATGTGTCCTTGTGTATTTATAGTAGAATGATTTATAATACTTTGGGTATATATCCAGTAATGGGATTGCTGGGTCAAATGGTATTTCTAGTTCTAGATCCTTGAGGAATCACCACTCTCTTCCACAATAGCTGAACTAATTTACACTCCCACCAACAGTGTAAAAGTGTTCCTATTTCTCCACATCCTCTCCAGCATCTGTTTTTTCCTGACTTTTTAATGATCACCATTCTAACTGATGTGAGATGGTATCTCATTGTGGTTTTGATATGCATTTTTCTGATGATCAGTGATGAGCTTTTTTTCATGTTTGTTGGCTGCACAGATGTCTTCTTTTGAGAAATGTCTGTTCATATCCTTCGCCCACTTTTTGATGGTTTTCTTGTAAATTTGTTTAAGTTCTTTGTAGATTCTGGATATTAGCCCTTTCTCAGATGGATTGCAAAAATTTTCTCCCATTCTGTAGGTTGCCTGTTCACTCTGATGATAGTTTGTTTTGCTGTGCATAAGTTCTTTAGTTAGATCCCATTTGTCAATTTCAAGCAGCTTCTTTTTAAATCCTCAGAAAATTGTGAAGAGGTAGATACTAACAATAGGTCCACTTTACAGATATAAGAATTGAGGCAAAGGGATGTTAAGTTGCCTGAAGACACAAGGCCATCCCGTGGCATAGCTGGAGAATGAATCCAGGCAATGTGTCCTCTCCAGCTCCATGCTCTTACCCACTGTCCCCATGTAAATTATAACTGGATTTCTAATTAAGGACCACAATTGTTATATCTATCTTTTATGGACAGCCACATTTCTTGTTAGCAAATTTTTTTCACTGAAGTGTGTTATGTGTGCACTTGTATTTTTTTTAAGACTGTACTATTAGATTCTTTTAGTAAATCATGGGCACTTGCAGTGAAAAGCCAATACCACTTATACTTAAGTTTCTTGTTGTGTGGGGATCCACTGTTACAATTTCCAGTACTACCATTGATTTAACTCAGTTTCCAATTAGAAGATAAAAATGTTAAGACTAAGGAGTGGTTTATGCCCACAAAGAACTCTGAAAAATAGACAACCAGTAACACATCAATCATTTTGCTAAATAAGTGGTTCAAAATCCAGAGGGTTGTAGCCCTTGCTTCCATCATTTCTTTGCCTTTTCTTTTAGAAATGTCATGTGAAATTGTATTTTTATTTCTTTTTAGGATTTCATCAAAGGTCTTTCCATTTTGCTTCGGGGGACAGTACAAGAAAAACTCAATTGGGCATTTAATCTGTATGACATAAATAAAGATGGCTATATCACTAAAGAGGTAAGGGATGCCTCACCAACCCAGCTATAATTTGGACCATTTTCATTTCTTAATTTTAAAATATTAAACAATTGCAATTATTAATTTGAAAATAGTTTTCTTCAGGAAATCCAAAATATTTTATGTAGTGGAAGAAGGACGTGTAATTAAAAATCTGGAATAGAAATAGTTTATGGTGAAGCTCCAAAGTAAATATATAAACACATAAAGATTATACCCTTGTTTCCTGCTGGCATCTTAATAAATACTGTGAATGGAATAAAGACCATGGTTGGAATCAGCTAGAAAGAAAATGTATCCAAGCCATGTTTCAATATTTAGCCTGCAGCCTTTCTTTTCACCATAGCATGTGAACCATAATGAAATGCAATTTTGCAATCATGTAGATCGTGGAATGACCTGATGCCATGGTGGGGTCTCCAAATGCACTTAGAGGCATGTTATCCAGGAAACAAGGCTCACAGACCAAATTGAGGTACTCATATTACACAGTTGATTAATTTAAAACACAGCAAGAAGTAAAGGGAAAGGGAGAAGTTAACCACACAGGATGGGATGCAAGTGGGGTTGAAAGACCACAATCCCTGAATCCTGGGCATGCTCAGTATGCCTATGTCCCATCTCTATCTGCCTCAAAACCCTCCCTCAGAATTGAGTTTTGAGCAAGTGGCCCTACAGACAAAAGATGCCCTGGGACACTTGCCAATGACATGAACTTTCACTACTGTACAGACACAGGTTCAAGTGTGCCTGGCTACAAGTATAGTCTGATAAGTAATAATGGGTTTCATTTGCGTTTCTTGAACAGAAGACACCTGGGGCTAGAATAGGTTGACAATGGGTGCCAAATTAAGACCTCATGACTATTAAGTGTTCACATACATAGAACATATCCTATATAGTGTTTCTTGTATATTTTTACACCATGAATATTACCCAGGTACCTCAGGAATATTAAGTATCTCTTGTTCTTTAATTCCTTTCTATCTCTGTTTAACACATCTCAAGAATTCTGTGTCTAACAAACTACTTGCTACTTAACTGTACTCAAAACATCTTAAAAGGTTTCATTTGTTTACAAATTACTTTATCATTTATAATAGAATTGAATACTCTTAAAAGTAAATATACGTTAGATCTATATTATCAACCTAATCAAGAGATCTTTCATGTGAAACAAATGTGCAACAATAAATCTAAATGTTTAAGTTATTATTTTTATTCTCATAAGAATGAAAATGGTAAGGCAAAAATTAGACTGTTTCAGATAAAAAGTTAATAAAATTTCAAGGTGTTTCCCAGGGTCAAAATATTTTGACTAGTCTTCAGGTATGTCTTCAGTTAAAGCCATAGTAGAAAAAATACAACAAAAATCCTACTGATCTTTGAGACTTACTTACCAATTAATTTCACTAATTCTAAGTGGTGTTTTTTCTCAATATATGGTGTGCATTATATTTTATTCTCAACAGATGGAAAATGATAATTAACACATAAGATATATAATGATTCAATTAAATATAGTCTACCTAAAGTCTATAGAAATCCAAACATTAAACCAGCATATTCTTTTCCTATGTTAAATACATGGAAATTTGCATCATTTTGAAACCAAGAGATCAGATTTAATTCTTACATTCTGATTCTTCTGCTGTTGGCTTTTCCTTTGGGACAAGAAACAGTCATCTAACAAAGAATCCAACAAACAGTCAAAAATTTAAAATTGAGTAGGAAACATCCGTCAGAGCTTCTTAGACTGGTTTCTTCATATATATGTGCAGCCTCATGCAAGTGCCTTTTACTTTTCAGGAAATGCTTGACATAATGAAAGCAATATATGACATGATGGGTAAATGTACATATCCTGTCCTCAAAGAAGATGCTCCCAGACAACATGTGGAAACATTTTTTCAGGTAGGAATGAAAACAGAAATCAAGAGGGAACGAAAGTAGGAGATAAAGTCCTGATGTTTGCCAAGCAGCTCGATGATTCAAAAGAAAGCAAAGGAAAATAATTTTTACTGAAACAAAACAGCATTTACCATCCTTTTAATAGCTTTAGTTTTGAATTTATAATGCTTATATAACTACACTTATTGAACATTCACTAAATCCTTGATACAACACTAAACATTTCTCATGTTTCACAAGTTTTCTCATGTTTTGTTTTCGTTCAGTTCTTAAAAGAATCCTATAAATCCTCATTAATCCCATTTTACAGATGAGAAAAAAAGCTGTGAAAGTTTCAGCAAATTGCCCAAGCTCTGTCATATCTAGAAGGTAGGATTTTGCCTAGGACAGAATGACTCTAAATCTTCACCACACCATATTGAAAAGGGAACAGCCTAAAACGGTTTGGCCCTACATTTTTATCTCTAAGAAACTACTGGTTCCTGCTGTGAAACAGTTCCTCCACGTGAAATAAGCAGCTAGGCTTTCTTTTTATCAGCTTCAGCTCATTTGGTTCAGGTGCGAGGGTATTAAGGGATAAGTCTAAATACAATTTTTTGTTTTCTTCCTGAATAGAAAATGGACAAAAATAAAGATGGGGTCGTCACCATAGATGAGTTCATTGAAAGCTGCCAAAAAGTAAGTAATTGAAGTATAAGAACTGTCACTTCAACTATCACATCAACTAAACTGAGGATTACCAGCTAGCTACCATGAACGGCAAAACAGAAAGATCACATGCCTAAGTTTACCACTTCTACAACATGCAACATAAGCCTACCACTCTGAAAACAAGCCCCAATTGATATAATCAACACTGAAGAGTGCCTACTGAGTCAGGCTATGTACGAAGCCTTGGGGATACAAAAGTTGCACATGTACTGTGTTTTTGATTCCCAAATTCCTTAGGGAGTATTCGTCATGGAGGATAAAACATATGAAATTTGAATTTCTCTTTGCCCAGACTTAGCATAACTCATATATTACCTATCATTATCGCCATAGAATTAGAATTCCTAGATAGCCAAGTATGCATCACAACAGGCCAAAATTTTATCTGACTTCTTAGGGAAAAATCACTGTTTTAGTGTTGTAGACAAGAAACTTTGGCTGAACTCAGTAATGGTCTTTAGTCACAAAAAATAAACGGTGGAAAATTTTCTCTGAAGAGAACTCCAAGTAGTAGCCTATTATCTAAGAAATCAGTTTTAGCTTACTTAGACTTATTTGACTTGATGTGTGGGTAGAACAATTAAAAATTTTTAAGGCCTGGTACAGTAGCTCACACCTGTAATCCCGGCACTTTGGGACGCTGACGCAGTAAGGTAAGTTAAGGCCAGGATTTTGAAACCAGCGTAGGCAACATAGAAAGACCCCAGGTCTACAAAAAAAATTTAAATTAGCTGGGCATTGTGGCATGTGCCTGAAGTCTCAGCTACTTGGGAGACTGAGGAAGGAGGATTACTTGAGCCCATTTGAGCCATGATTGTGTCGCTGTAATCTAGAACGAAGGGCAACAGGAAGAGACTCTGTCTCAAAAAAAAAAAAAAAAATCATGAAAACAAATCCGTTCTTGCTTACAATTTTCTATTTTTAAATTGCTGTTCTTACCTTTCTGGACGTTTGCTTGTTTCTCAACTTGGACTTCAATGTGGTGGTCTTTGAGAATTAATTTGGTGACATTAAGCTGCTTGATGGTGATGTTGTTACTTGGTTTCTAGCAGTGGAAGCTATTATTGGTTTAGCCACCATTTACCACTACCATAAACAGCTCAGTAAGTGCTATTCACATGAAACTGACAAGTGCTGTGTCCCCTAACTCATTTCAAAGAATATGCTCAACTGAACACAGCCACTGGGCAGTGGTTTCTGCTCCCCAATCCTTTCTCTGTAATTGAGACCATTCATTTTAAAAGGCTCCTTCAGGCCACACAGGTTTAGCCATCACTAGCAAACAGAAAGAGAGGTAATTACTGCAAACATGTTCCCTCTTAATCTAACACCCTGCCTCCTATGCTCCAGCACCCAATCTTCACGAACTGCTGGCTCATCACTCACACACACACACATACACTTCTTTGTACCTGTATAAAAATCTCTGTGATTTGACCTGTGATCTATGTAGAATGCCAAAATTTTCATTGCTTTGATTTACGTTTGCGCCTCTGTAGTTTCCTTTTTGGCATTATGATTTGAGAAATATCCTCTAAATACCAAGTAAGAGTTGTTAAAGTGGTTTAATGCCTGGTCAGTAGACTCCACAACATATAATATGGGTCCTCCTTCATAGTGATCTATGTGGAAAATAGACACGATGGCATTTACATTTGCAAACACTTAATATTTGAGCTTTTGGCCTAGGTGGATGGTGGGAGGCAATACTTAAGAGCAAATGGTATACTTTCCCTTGAAGATAGGCTGAATTTAATCACTCTGTGTTTCTCCCTTACAGGATGAAAACATAATGCGCTCCATGCAGCTCTTTGAAAATGTGATTTAACTTGTCAAATAGATCCTCAATCCAACAGACAAATGTGAACGATTCTACCACACTTAAAGTTGGAGCTACCACTTTTAGCATAGATTGCTCAGCTTGACACTGAAGCCTATTATGCAAACAAGCTTTGTTTTAATATAAAGCAATCCCCAAAAGATTTGAGTTTCTCAGTTATAAATCTGCATCCTTTACATAATGCCACTGAGTTCATGGGATGTTCTAACTCATTTCATACCCTGTGAATATTCAAAAGTAACAATCTGGCATATAGTTTTATTGATTCCTTAGCCATGGGATTATTGAGGCTTTCACATATCAGTGATTTTAAAATACCAGTGTTTTTTGCTACTCATTTGTATGTACTCAGTCTTAGGATTTTGAATGGTTTTCTAATATACTGACATCTGCATTTAATTTCCAGAAATTAATTTTCATGTTTGAATGCTGTAATTCCATTTATATACATACTTTAAGTAAACAAGATTATGACAATTAAAACACAGTTCCAGTTTCTGTGGCCTTCCCGCCTTCTGTTAGAAATTAATTTATCTGGAATTTTAAAACAACACTTAACAATTAGTTTATTATCAGATAGCATATGCCTAATAAAACTTATTTTAATAAGCAATTAATTTTGCATAATATATTACAGCCAAGGCCTATATAATTTTGGATTTGTTCAATCTTATAGGCTGTTTTCTATTGTATCAAGTGGAAGGTCAAGAAGGCATCAAACAAAACAAGGATGTTTACAGACGTATGCAAAGGGTCAGGATCTCTATCCGCCAGTATATAGTAATGCTTAATAACAAGGACTCCTAACAGCAAGGCCAAATCTGTCCTCTTTCCCCGACGTCCTTACAGCATGTTTATATTACAAGCCATTCAGGGACAAAGAAACCTTGACTACCCCCATTGTCTACTAGGAACCAGCAGTAAGCAAAATTCATTTGAAAGCACCAGTGATTCCATTACACTGAGAATTACTACCAAGATTTAGTAGAAAATAAATAAGTTCTCAACAACTAATCCAGATTACAGTATGATTTAGCTCATCATAAAATTCCAACAATTCAGATTATTTTTAATGATCTTAACCAAAACTATAAAGTTGCCACATTACTAAAGACACACATCTTCCCTGTTTTGTAGAAATATCACAGAGACCAAGAGGCTACAGAAGGAGGAAATTTGCCACTGTCTTTGCAACAATAATCAGGTATCTATTCTGGTGTAGAGATAGGATGTTGAAAGCTGCCCTGCTATCACCAGTGTAGAAATTAAGAGTAGTACAATACCTGTACACTGAAATTTGCCATCGCGTGTTTGTGTAAACTCAATGTGCACATTTTGTATTTCAAAAAGAAAAAATAAAAGCAAATAAAATGTTTATAACTCTACTGTCTATGTTTATAGATCTTTTTCAAGAAATTTTGTAATTATTAGATTTAAACAATACTTTTTCTTATAGTATTTTCTAGATCACAGATATCTCTGCATGGTGCTAAATGCAATGAAAACAGGTAAAAACAAGGCCAGCGAGCAGACAGCTGCTGTATCCAGTGATTGGAGGATGTGACAAGAGAGTAGAGACCTGTGGAAAAAGCATGCCAGATAGATTCAGGACAGACAAGTTCTGAGGGAGGAGGAGCATTTCTACATGAAGAATCCTCAGAAATTACTTGTACTCTTTCAAGTTACAGTTGTGAGATTATATCTGAAATGAGAATCACAGAGTTCATTCCAGGTGTTTGGGGAATAGAGTGAGGAATGGGCATTCTTCAAAGCTTCCGAGATGCAACACTGCTGCTCCTATATACAAGACCAATCTTTTTCCTTTCCATCCGAGTCTTGTTTTGCTTTGGATGTGGTGTAACTACAGAAAGCCCTATGGCCTCTCCTTTTGCCCATAAGATAAAAGGTCTTATTCTTGTTTTCCATTTTTCTTCCTCTCCTCTACTCCTCTCTTGCAGAGGGAATCACTTCTATTACATCAAAATTCTGAACTATGTCTAAATGATGTTTTAAAAACTCCTTAAAAATCAATTGCTAAACGTAAGTAAGCACAACAAAAATCAATGAATGCATATATGAGCTTTCAGATTTTTAATTGCTGAGTATCTTTATGTGAACATCAGTATTTTCTGGCTATGAAATGCAAAAATATTTACTTAAATACAGTTAACACCAAAAATTTAGGTAGTTGTAATGAGTTGTAATAAACAACATACTTGTAATAGAATTCACAGTTAGAAAAAAATGTCTTAAACTAGAATACTCTGAAAATTTTCCATGCATTGTACATTATAAAACACATATTTACAAACACTAATTAATAGTATATTCATGGGGCCAGGGATGGTGGCTCACTCCTGTAATCCCGGCACTTTGGAAGTCAATTGCACAGGACAGCTTTCAGAATTTCGAGACCAGTCTGGATAACAGAGTGAGACCCTGTCTCTATAAGCAAATTTTAAAATTAGCTGGACAGGGTGGCACATGCCTATAGTCCCAGCTAATGAGGAGTCTGAGATGAAAGGATCATGTAAGCACAAAAATTCAAGGCTTGCAGCGAGCTATGATTATGCCACTGTACTCCAGTCTGGGCAACAAAGCAAGACCCCTTCTCTCTTTAAAAAAAATTTTAAAATAGTGTATTCACAAACTTTTGTTCACTATTTTAAATTTCTACAGCCTTGTTAAATATGAAACCCAAGAAATGGCAAAATATCTAGAAAAATAAGTGCACAGCTACAAATCTGATTACAAAAAAAGTATTATAAATAGGCACTAGAAAATACATCTTATCTTACAAACTCAATAATGGTTCTTCACACAAATAATAAAAATACAAAAAATAAACCTCACAAAATTATACTATATAGAACTTATTTTAATAACTTTCCATTAGTAACTTTTTTGTTGATGAATAACTTTGATTCAGTGTATATTCATCTTAAGCTAGTGAATAATAAATAGTGGCTGTGATTTACAAATGAACAAAATGGAAGAAAGGTTCCATGAGTACCTGGGGTGTGTTTGATATGTCACCAGGAAGAAAAAACAATGTTTGTTGGCTCCCTTCTTCAACAGCATATGGAACAGTATGTTGGAATTTTAGATTTGATGATGCTAAGGCTTCCCTGTCAACAGAAAAATAAAAATTGAGCATCGTTACTCTCATGCACAGTTCCCCTAATAGGTATTGCATTTGCAGGAATATGCCTAGAAAGTATCCAAAACTCAAACAAAAAGGGATGAGAACAAAATGATGACATAAGAAGTGTTTTTACTGAGTTACATAAAATATAGACTGTCTTTTTTAGTATCTAACTAGAGCAGTAGTTAGAAGCCAGACTACCAGTATCTGAATATAGCATCTACTAGTCACTTCTTTGTCAAACCTGGACTAATTACCTCTCTGTGCCTAAGTTCCCTGATCTTTAAAGGGAGATAACAAAATCTCTCTCTGATGACTAGGAAGAGTAAATGAGTTTCATATCTAAAAAGTACTCAAGCAGAGTACCTGCCATGTAATAAGTTCCCACATAATCAACAAAGATCAGTGTTTGTGTTGTGCCTTTCCCAAAATAAATGTGCATTTCACTTAGAAAAAAATAAAATCAGGCTAAGAATGAACTGATTTTTCAACTGATTTTTCTTAGAATATCAGTTCTAAGAAAGTAACACTGTGACTGTAACAGATATTTTCGTGTACCAGAGGTTGAATAGTTCCATCATTTATATACACAAGTCCTAAGAAATGAGAAACCACAACGGAGAACACTCATTTTTAAAGACTTATTTCTAACATTTAAAGAAAGAGATACATAAGCTTTTAGAAGAGAAAGAAGAGTATTCATTAATTTCACGAAGGATTACAAAGTAGCGGAAGCTAACACACAGCAATTAAGCCAAGAAAGTCTTTGGCATGTAATTGCAATAGAAAATTTTCTATTCTAATTACATCAATCATTATTAAAATATTATGTACGACATAAGAAGGAAGAAACATGAGGAGTCAGAAGAAAATAAATAATAGCGCTTCTAACTACAAAATCTTTTTTAAAATTCTGTATTAGCAACACTCAAAGCTAGTAAGATGGAGTAACAAAAGAATTTGATATTTCTGGAATCCTAGATTGGTCAACTACACCTCTGTGTTCCTCTTCCAAATCTTAATGTGTTGTTTCTAAACTTTATTTACATGCATACCATCTCCTCCTCCACACCCCCTCCACTCCCACCACGAAATCTAACATGCTGGTCCTGTCCCTTTCCACTTGTCCCATCTCCCATATCGGCTCACAGGATATGGAAAACCACCTAGGGAGGGTTTCCCACTGAAAAGCTGTGGCATCATTATTTAGCCTCTGTTTACTTCCACTCCACAGAAGAAAGGAAAAATATATTTTGCATTCAAATTCTCAGAGGAGCAAACAAGAATTTCCTTGACATGGGATTAACTAGGGGATGGTTCTGCACATCTCCTAAACAAGGTCTCTGAATGCTAATTCTCTGCCTAGGACCCAAACACAACAAAGAAATTCATTATCTTGTAGGCTTAGGGACTTACTTCCTCCTATAAACTTTATTCTAGGCATCCATCATGGAAAGAACATAATGAAACAATTCACTGAAATTGGTCAAATTAGGTAATTTTGCTAAAGCTTTATGTTTGTCATTTTAAAACTGTATATGATCACACAGATTTTCTTATAATTAACTCCTTTAGCAAGTACCTAGAATGAAACTAAGTTCTGCAATGTTCAGACAGTCATCTGCAATTCTATCAAGATCCGATTAAAGAAAATTTCCAAAAGCAAGATGGCTTTTATGAAAATATTTCTAAGACTAGATTATCTGAATGCTTCCTTCAAATGCTGAAAATTCAATTAATCAAGTAATCTGACACCATATAGTTATGAAATCCTGCATATTTTTGTACCTTGAAAAGTTAGACTAATCAATTAAACTATTCCAGCACTGTGTGCATGTGTCTGTGTGTGTGTACACCTGTGAGGGTATGCACGCACTTAGAATAGTGCAATCATTTAGACGTTTGAGGCAGAAAAGACAGCAAATGAAAGAGAAAAAGTATTCTTCCTCAATGAGCTAAGTTAATGCTTTGGTTTTCTGAACTTTTCAATGGTCAGAACTAAACCACTGAAAATAAAGAAAAAAACTGTACCGCTCTGCCACATGCAGTGCCATATTAAGCACTGTGGAAGTGTACAAGCCCTATGTTTATTCAACCTGAGTCTGAGTTGCAGGACTTGAAAAACAGTGTGACCAAGAGACAGAAACTCTGAGCTCTAAAAAGAAAATAACAGCATCAATTTCATACAGTTACTTGTGGCTGAAATGAGAAGTACCTGTTAAGTATATAGTCAATTTAGTAATATGCCTGAAAGTTAAAAAAAAAAAAAAAAAAAAAGACTCTTAAAAGACTCTTAAGGAATAATGTTCTACTTACACTTCCGCCCCGTTGCTCTAGCTTCTGTAATGCGCTGGTGATTGGCTCTTTGAATTTCTTGTCCATTAACCTTTTGGAAAGCTTTCAAAGTAAGATTGGGGGGAAATGAAATGACTTTAAAATTAACCATGTTCACCATACACATAAGTAAATCTTCAGGAGCACCCCTTGTTTTAGATTTCAAGGCTTCTTTTAGGAAGCATCTCACTGAAATTTACATATAAGAGGTAGGTACCTCTATGTTTTAAAAAACAATGAATTTACGTTCTCGTAAGTAAAACCAATCCTATAAAACCTGCTACAGTATGCTATCTGTAGTAAGTTTTCTAAAAAATAGCATATTTTGCGATTTTGTAATTTGCAAGAGCATTTGGAGGACCATGATGGAAAGCTCTGCCTCTAAAACACATTTTCCCACAATAAAATGGGAAGAGAGGACAAAGGATGGAGGATTTACATGAGTAATTTAGTAACAGTGAATGCTCTGGGGATGGACAAGGTCCCTCTACCGTCTTTCAGTTGCTTTCTTCAGACTGCATTATCCTACTGAATCTGTATACACCCTGTATAGCACAGAGGTTCATAGGCAGATCCATGGACCATTAGCATCAGAATCACTTGAGATGCTGTTTAAAAATGTAGATTCTTGGGTCTCACACCATACTTAATCAGAATCTCAGGGGAAAAGCCCAGATGCTACATTTTAAGCAAGATTTTCAGGTGATTTATTCCCTCTTTAAAGTCCCATACATTTGCGGCTCAGAAAAGGTATAGTTTATTTTGCATAGAGGAAAAAATGAGTTGTATAGAGAGGTTCAATAACTGGTTTTGAAAAACTTTTTCTAGAAGAGTACCCTTTCTTCCAATAAATATCTAATGTAAAAGTCTATAAACCCGATGAAAATGAAGGCGTTGAGGCTGA